ACACCATGTTAAATTTACTGCAGGTATCTCAAAATATCATTTTAATTGAAATCATATTTCAAAAGTGTAGCAATTCTTAGACCCACTTATCAGAAGGCTGCTAGGACCTACATGATTGCTGTCTTCCTGTCCACAGACATTGGAGTGATGGTGCTGGCTGTCAAACAACTACACTGTAGTTTTTAAAACTATTTTGATGAAATATTTTAATATATTGGTTTACTTTGTAACTCTAGGTACTTGAGAATTACATAGAATTACATAGGTACCCAGAGTAACTGTGGCACAAAAAAGGTTAGAACCTTCAGTCAGGAGCACCTTGCCCACAGGAGGAGCTCTGCTGTCTAACAGCCAGTTACACTTCTCTATTAATTTGCTTGTCTATTGCCCAGGCCCCAGAACATTTCTGTAGACAATTCCCCACAGGTCGGGCAATCTCGTCACTTGAAAGAACCTAACTCTGTACAGCAAGAGAGAAAATGTCTGGGACCCTCCCCAAGAGTCTGGTGCCCAGAGCATCATGCAGAAGGGAAAGTTACCTAACGGGGGTGATGATCCTGAGGGACGGCACAGCAATGACAATTTATAGATAGCAGAGGAAAGTACAAGAGGAGGGAGAGTATGAGGGAAAGAAAGTGGGATAAAGAAGACAGAAGACACGAAGCCCATAGCAATGGGGGCTGTACAACCTACAGACTGGGAAAACAAATAAGGAAGAAAAAAGGAAGAACTTTGAACAATGAAACTTCGACAATGAAACCAAACCACAACAAAATAGTACTGAATACTTTATTTTGTAATAAACAAGTGAATTTTGGGGGTATTTCCTTGTGGTTCTTCTATCCTTTTCCCGTAGTGCTGATCAACTGCTTTCTTCCGTTTCCCATCTTTCTTCTTCTCCAACTATCCTAGCCTTTCTCTCTACACATACATAATTCTTAGTGCTTGACTTTTGAGAACAAAAAGCTTTACACATGTTAGCAAAATTTAGGATGTGGTAGTACTCAAAGCAACTAGCAGCATTGTATGTTTTAACTCATTCATTTGGATTGGAACATTCTCAACTAGTCCTTGCACGCTGGGAAAGTGTTTGCCTATCACAGAGCACAAGGCAGTTCAGAAGGCCTCTCTCTCATCACAGATTTGTAGGCATATGAGTGGGAAACATCATATAAACAGTGAAAAAACACATCTTTTCAGGTTGTTGGATTTTCGCTTAAAAAAAGCACTAAACATCTGTCATTTAAAAAACACATGTGCATATATACAACAGTAAATGGAATGATATTTTTATCCAGAACATCACAGAGTTTATCTCAGATATGCTGAGGACCATCAGTCAGTCTGTAAATTACCTCCAGAGGGTGGTTTGTTTTCTCATTCCTTAAAAAAAGTGTGTTTGCTAAGTTCAAACACTGACATCACGTGAAGATGCCAGTCTTTATACACCTTTATAAAAGTAGAATATGTGGAATATGATACATTAGTACAAAGTTTTACATATTGATACAAGTAAAATATATAAATTACAATGAAATAGAGAAAAGTTGTGGTTCTGTCTGGGGGTGGTTCTTTTAGCAGTCATATTGCTGTAAAAAAAAAAAAGGAATACATAGGTTATAATCAGGATAAATAATGATGACGTTTCAGCCCTTTAAATTTCTGTTTTAAGCAAACATAAAGCAGACTGATCTCAATTTCAGCAGAGCTTTAGCCAACCACACTTAGAGCTTAAACAATGTTCACTAAATGTTTCCTAAACAAAACCAGATCCATTGTCCTCCCTGAGTAAAAGCTGCAGAAAGGGTCCATGGAAACTGTAGGATACTGAATGCTGCGTTTGCTTCGAGTGTGTTTGTGTGGACTTCTAATCTTAGGGATTTAGAAGATGATGCCATGGGAGTTCATACTAGTGTGGGCTCAATGTGAGTAACCTTTCAAATTAAATGCTACCAAGTTATGGGTTCTTCTACACTAAAAGCCCTGCCCTTTAAAAGTGTCTTTTCTCTTACGAACAAAGGTAATAGATCTTCCCTGCAGTGTCTGGGAAAAAGCCAAACCTACGGTGACTCAGATGGGAAATCCAGTGTATTTGTTCCCCCAACTCAGAGGAGAGTGTCACTCCCTGTCCAATCACTTCAGCAGTTTTGGTCATTGACTTTCTATGCCTGTTCCCAAAATGCACCAGCGCTGAAGTCCAGCAAGAACTCACTTGGTTTAAACTCTGACTTGTCTGAAATTCAAGACTAAAGATAGATTGCATTATAGTAATCCTGAGAAGATTCTTCTCAGCCCCTCCTTAACCATATTGCCTAAAAACAACTCTGTATTGAAGGTTTCCCACTCTACTGCTTTCTTGGAAATCTGGCAGGATTCCAAAGAAATTATTAATCTTGCTGTACTTGCCTGATAAGGAAAACTAGATTTTTATTTTAACTTCCCCTCGAACATTATAGAAAGTTTCCATTTATTTACAGCAAAGTTTTTCATGGTAGAAAGGGACTTTCAGTTTTCATTAATCTTTTTTAAAAGAAAGTTAAAAGGCTTGGAACAAGAAGAGTAAATGGTTTGGAAAATATAAGTTAAGTTAAGTTTCTGTTTACCTAATCCTGTTTCACAGAATAAGACAAAAAATAAACCCCCCAAAATAGAACCAAATCTGAACTTCCATCAATTCAATAATATATACCTTTTAGGAGGACATAGAAACAAGAACTTTCCCCACTACAAACAAATGCATATTTCTCTCCTAAATAATATCCGCAGGAAAACAAGCCCTTCCTGGTTTTCTTTCACAGTGAAAGGCTTTTCATGAGCTGCTATTCAAGGGCCACTAGTGATTCTCCCTACTTAGCTGCTTCAGTATTTTTGTGACCTCTTATTAGGAAGGAATTGTGGAAAATCCAACAGAACAGCGAGTATGGCATAGTTGTTAAAAGCAGGAGCTTTCATGTAAAATGACCCAAGGTTTGAAGCCCGTTATTTCGTGACAGGTGATCTTACACAGGTTGCTTAATCTCTGAGCCATAGTCTCATCTGAAAAATGGGTTGAGCACAGTGCCTGATGCAATGAATGTTGGCTATCACTTGTGTATGCTAGTTGAGAACTTGAGAGCAAAGAGAGGACATGTCTTTTGTGTCTCTGCAGTCAGAGCAGTGAAGGGGGCAGTGGGTTTGATCCTGAAGGGAGCACTGTCTGTGGGCAGCATGTTCCTATGCACAGTGACTGTGAGACTCAAGGAAGCTTATTATTGAGAATAAAACTGAATGGTGTAGATGTGTTGCCACAAACATGATATAAGATTAAATACTGGTAGGTTGAGTGTGTTTGGTTTTGCCTTTTTCTCTGTAATGAAAACAACGGTACTTTATGGTAATTGACTACACCAGGGCCAGGCTAGGACATTTTCACACAGATTCTTACCTGCTGGCGAAAGCAGCAATAGCCACATATGCCTCCAAGTATTCCATTTATAACTTGGATGAGACACAAGATGAATTCAATTCCACCAAGAGCCAAGAGGATAGAAAACAGAGATACATTCCATTCTACAACATGCTGGGGTTCAATGCACTGGGACCATGTGGAGGTATCCAGAAGGTACCTGTGGATAAAAAGAGAAACTTTTGACACACGATCACACCTAAGGTGATAGCTCATAAGCTACCTTTTTGTGTGGTGGTTTTTCATTCAGAAAAAAATAAATGAATTAATTCAATATTGTATATAAGATCCTTCCAATGCATATCATTCCACAAAATGAAGGAATTTGGCCCAGATCTTGTTGTAATGATAAACATAAAATTATAACTTATAACTTTTGGTTCCTAAGCTAGGATTCTGTGTTTCCAAATCCTCACCTTGTAGTGATGTTTCTATTTCCTAAAAGACTATGGATTCTTAAAAACAAAAATAAAAACACAAAACTGTATTTATGTTATATTTAAAGCTAAGTAAAATTCATGTATGTATACGGATGAGAACTAAAAGCAGATATGGGAAAAAAAAACAACTCATGTTTTTTTTTTCTTCTAAGTTGGTATCAGATGGGTAATGTGCCAAGGTCGTAACAAGGTCTGAGGGAGGCACATCTCAAACGTCAGTGTGAAAACTCAGTCATCACACTTATGAACTACAAAAGGATCAATTCATGTGTTTAAGGTCATGGAATGATAGGGGATTTTTTTACTCTATTTTACAATTTTATTATTGCTTAATTATAATCTGTGTAAAAGAGAAGACTTTGTAACCAATATTGAGTGAATATTTATTTAGAAAATATGATCTACTTAACATTAGCATTTTTTAGAACTTTAAAATATTAATTTAGATCATTAAAATTTGATTTGTTCCTTTTGAAAATTATTCAAATTCTGCCAAGTTTGGAGATTTAATATGTTAGAGTTTTTCAGCTGAGACCTGTTGAACAAAGTTATTTTCTGGTTTTAAGGAATAAATTAATTTGCAACATGAAGCAGAGGATTAAATTCAACTAATTTCATACCTCTTTACTTTCATGATGCTGTGCCCATGCATCTATCACAGCACGTAGCACATTGTATTCACTCTCTGAACAAAGATTATTGAGCACTCAGTGTGAGTGGGACACTGAGGCAGAGCTGGCGGTGCAATGGTGCACAAGGCATGGGCTGTCTCCTGGAAGAGCATAGCATCTAAGGGAAGAGACATATACTCTTGTTTCTCTTCAAAATGAATCAATCTTTTGCCTTTTACTAAGGGAAGAGACAAGTAATAGGCAATCTCAATTCAACAGGTACACTAATTGGGTAAACACAGTATGAAAAAGCCATGGCTGGGCACGGTGGCTCACGCCTATAATCCTAACACTCTGGGAGGCTGAGGCGGGAGGATGGCTTAAGCTCAGGAATTTGAGACCAGCCTGGGCAAGAGTAAGATCCTGTCTCTAATTAAAAAAAAAAAAAACAAAATATGAAAAAGCCACAGAGGAAAGGCACCCAAACTAGTCCAGGAAGAATACCTGCTTCTATATCTATTCAGCAAGGCTGAGCTCTGTGAAGGTAACAACCAGATACATCTGGCACATTTGTTGATTTAAAAAAAAATCTATTTTTCCGGCCCTGTCTTTCTGCATGTCAGTGAAACAAAAAACTCAACACATTTTAAATGCTTTTGAATGATAAATAATAACATGAAGCCACCTTGTGAAATGTCAGCAAACCATGCTGAGGTCATATCTGACTACATGTACATGATCCAGGAGATTTTCTAAATACCTGGATATTCTAGTCTGAAAAAGTCCACCTCTGATTACTCTCCTAGAATTTCAGCCTTTGCTACATCATAGAGTATTTGGATCCTTAATGAAATAGGACTTAATCATGTGGGAAAATCAAGGATTGACTTAATTCCACAAAGAGGCCTGGTGTAATTCTTTCCTTATCACTTTTTCCTGCCACAGCAGAACAAAAGAGCTTGAAATTAGAGACTTAACTTTGGAATGGTTCATCAAAGCCAATCAGAGATTCAATTTGTTGGCTTAAAAAAAAAATCTGTTTTTCTGGCCCTGTCTTTCTGCATGTCAGTGAAACGAAAATCTGTATTTTCAGGTCACAACATAAAAAAATTCTTCGGCTCCACCTGGCAATTGGCTAACTAACCAGCGGTTTGTGATGATTATTTAATAGTTATTGTCCATATTGAAATTCTTGGACAAACTCAAATGAGAAATGATATAGAAGAAAAGGAAGGTTTCTTACAGAAGCCGGATAATGGGAGGAGCAAACAATCAAACAGCTATCAAAAAACATTTAGTGATACTTCCACCTCTCCTTGCATTCCAGCTGCATAAATCATGACTTTTTCTAGAGGTAAGTCCATGCAATAGTTTTGCATGTTTGTACATACACAAATGGCCATTTTCTACTGGTACATTCAGTATGTTTTGAACAAAGATGAATCACAATTGATAATAATTTTGAACACCAAATTTCAAACTCTTTTAAGTACCAATTTTCCTTCAAAGGCTGCCATTGAGTTATGTTCGTTGTAAGCTAGTAGATAATATTAACAACTAACAGCGGCAGTGCTCACAAGTATCAGCCTCTGTGGGGCACATTTTACGTATTATCTCACTAATTCTCATGACAATTGCCATTAATTTTATTTTATAGGTGAAGCAGCTGAGATACAGAAAGGTAAGTTCACTTTTTCCTGTACTCAGAGATGTAATGTAAAGGAAATTCAAATTCATTATTAATATTATTTTTAGTCATGAATCTCAAAACTAAACCTTTCAAAATTGAACTTTAGCAAACCAAATAGGGAAAAGATAAACTCAGAATCAACTCCTGCTCAAAGAAGTATGTCATTCATTCATTACCATGTATATCAGTCTCTGTCAGCTTTCCTGTTTTTGTTCTTTTCTCAATAACTGATAAGAAATACATATCAACATAAAACAATGGAACCTCTTCAATTATCCTGATGTTAAAGTCATGAATAAGACCTTTCTTATATAGCTTGACAACTTTATTTATTTATTTTTTATTTTTATTTTTTTTTTAGTGACAGGGGTCTCCCTATGTTGCCTAGGCTGGAGTGCAGTGGCTATTCACAGGTGCAATCCCACTACTGATCAGCACGGGAGTTTTGATCTGCTCCGTTTCTGACCTGGGTCGGTTCACCCCTCCTTAGGCAACCTGGTGGTCCCCCGCTCCTGGGAGGTCACCATATTGATGCCGAACTTAGTGTGGACACCCAATCGGCATAACACACTACAGGCCATAACTCTTGGGCTCAAGCGATCCTCCCGTCTCAGCCTCCCAAGTAGCTGGGATTACAGGCATGCGCCACCGCTACCGGCGAGCTTGATAACTTTAAATAAAGGGGGCATTGTACTTAGCTCTTATGTTGTATGTGAGTGTGTGTGTGTGTGTGTGTGTGTGTGTGTGTGTATGGGGATGTAGTATAATTTTCCCTGGGCTTTGGTTAAATTCCTACAGTTGCCATTCTTATTATGTAAGGATTCTATAATACTTTTTTATAAAATAGTAAAATGTATTACATTTAATCAGCCAATCATTCTGGTATAACATATATGCTATATGAGCACAAACTCTGCAGCCCAACTGCCTGGCTTGAAATCCTAACTGCCACTTCCTAGCAATGTGACCTTGGATAAGTTACTTCATCTCTCTGTGCCTTTAGTTCCTCATCCATAAAATAGGATTAACAGTGGAAGTCACTTCATAGGGTTATTATGAGGACTGAATTACTGAATCTATTCAAAAGCACTTAGAACTTGTCCAGGTCAGGGAATGGCCATCCATCTTTGGATATCTATTGCCTAAACCATGCCTGAGTCAGTGGGAATAAACACGGGTTATGTGGGTGCATGAATGGGTAATTGGGCGCCTATTTGGTATGACGGAGTTGCTACTCTACACACATGGTGCATAAGAATGTGTGGCCAGGTAGGGAACCATTACGTACTGTCCCTCAGTGCTGGCAAAGGTGTAGTTCCACTGCCCAAGGTAATCCATACATATTGGTCCTTCTGCTAAGCCCAGGGCTGCCACAATGACACAGTAGCCAGATCCTGCAATTCCGATGAGAGCGGCCAGTACAGAAGAAAGCATCTAGGGAAGGGAGAAACACAGGAAGTGAGCCACGGAGCGAGCGCTTGGCTACATCTTAGGAATCATTTTCACCACCAGAGCGAGAGGACCTACCGAGCATCTCTTGCCACAGTTTTCATGGCCGCAGCAGCCACAGCAGTCGTCCTGTTCCAGCCCAATAAAGACAAATGCTGGCAGGAGCATCTGGTGAGGAAACAAGCAAAGTAAGATCGCTGTCCTTCCCCCAGGCTGGTAGGGGTCGGGTTAGGCATCTTTTGATAAAATAAATTTATTTCTGATGGTGTTCACTGGCTTGGGTTAGGTTGACCCAGTATTTCAAACTCTGAGGAGTAAAACTTCTCTAATGTACTATCTGCTTATTTTTATATAATGTGTCAAAGCATCCTTTAGGATAAGGATGTAGTATGGGAGGAGTAAAATGACAGCCTATAAATGTGTTTGTTCTGCAAGAGTTCACAATACAGTCCCAGATGCAAACTCTGTTTTGGAACTACTAACCCTTTCCTTGAAATTGGATTTTTTTTGGCCAGGTGCGGTGGCTCACGCCTGTAATCCTAGCACTCTGGGAGGCCGAGGCAGGTGGATGGTTTGAGCTCATGAGTTCGAGACCAGCCTGAGCAAAAGCGAGACCCCATCTCTGCTAAAAATAGAAAGAAATTAGCTGGACAACTAAAAATATAGAGAAAAAATTAGCCGGACATGGTGGCTTATGCCTGTAGTCCCTGCTATTCGGGAGGCTGAGACAGAAGGATTGCTTGAGCCAAGGAGTTTGAGGTTGCTGTGAGCTAGGCTGACGCTACGGCACTCTAGTCCGGGCAACAGAGTGAGACTCTTGTCTCAAAAAAATATGTAAATAAATAAATAAATTGGATTTTTCCCCCCTTGTAGAATGTACAAGATACCAACAAGTCTTAATAGAATAACTGAAATTTCTTTGTAAGTGAAAGAGATGAAAGCTATATATAATAAATACAAACTGTTTCTTTGAAGATATGAATGTATAGTTTTAGCTTAACAATAAAGCTCTTTAAATAAGGTAAGTGTGAAATACTTCAAGCTCAAGATCAAAAGAAACTTAATCAAGTGCAATGTTATGTTAAAGACAAATTATTATGTTAACATGATAGTAATGCTTAAATCTGAAGCAGATTTGCCATGCTATAATTAGTGCATTAAGTTTAAATGTTTTGATATCTTTTACTTGACTAAGAAAATATATCTTGTATAGTATTAACAATCCATAAAATTTCTCTTTAAAGTTCTTAATCCCAGCATTTTAAAGTAGCAAACTCAAGTTTGTCCACATTCTTTCCATGCTGTGGTTGAAGCTAATACTTTTAGCTCCCAGGTTGGCAGGCAAATTCCCTCACTTCAATTAAAAACAAATCTTGGAAAAAACAACACATTCCACTATTAGCTTCAGACACTGCTGATCTGCTGCTAACTGTAGGATTTTTCCTAGATACCACACCCTAGCATTACATAAAGGAGAAAGCTTTCTAAATAGCAATGCACTCACAATTCATTATATTTCCCTGTCACAGATACCTAAAAGTAAACAGCAGAGAATTTGGATCCAAAACTGTTGATTTAGACAAAGAACCCGCCAACCTCTCTCAGTTCCCCAGGGCAATGTTAAATGATCCAGTACTAGAAACTCTAGAGTCTCTCGAATCTGATTTAAAAGCTAATATCTGTTTTCAAGATACTAAGTAAGAGAATTTAGCAAAAAGGCAGTTCACTTTTAGTTGAAAGAAGATTTGTAAAACAACATCTAATAAAATTAATACACTATATTGTATCCATTTCAATTTTTATATAATCTGCTTTCAAAAGAATGCACAAAGAAGTCACTTGATCTGGAAATATGAATTACAGAAAACCTTCTATGAAAATACATAACGAAAACATCTAGTTAACAGAAGAGAATTTTTTTAAGGTTGTAATAATTCTGAATGACTTACCAGCAAGCCCCCTCCTATGATGCCAGAGAAGAACCACACAAAGCGGCTGAGGTGGTTTTCAGAGGCAAACTTTGTTTCCCCATTGGGGAAGTAAAGCAAAATATTAGCTACAATACAGAGGACGGCAAGCCCCACCAGAGAAAGTCCAATGCATCGTGCGCATTTGCCGTAGCACATGGTTGTGGCAGGGAGTCTGTGAGGTTTTCCCCCCCCTTCGCTCTGTCTTCAGCTGAGATACCCCACGTCAGTTGAGAGCGTGCCCGTCTGTGGAGAAAGCAAAAGCAATTTTCCAGCCCATTCCTGCTACCTCTTAAATACTGCGAGTTCTTAGTCACTGGGCGGATGAGGTACTTTGCTTTCATTGGTCCTGACTGCAGGCTCCAGCTGGGGTGGAGGGAGGTAGGGGGAATGTCCCGCCCTTCAGATGAAACACTTGGGACAAGCGAAACCAGGGGCAGGACGTGAGAAACAGCCTCAGTCACAGATAACAGAGAAAATGATTAATTCTCAACAAGGCAGTCACTGTGCAACTTTTTCACAGGGTGAAGAACTGACAGGAAAGACTTTCCAGTAACTGCCAAGTGTCCACGGTGTGACTGCCCTGGTTTAGACTTTGAAAGACAGTGAGCTGCGATCTTGCTCCATGCAGCTGTCTGGACAGCTTCCAGTCCAAGGGCTCTGTTCGTTTCTGCCTCTGCACTGATTTACTTTGCCACCTGGGGCTAGTCCCCTGAGCTCTGAGCTTATTTCCTTGTCTGTTAAAAACAAGGTGTCTGAGGCATTACTCATGGATTTGAGGAGGCTGTTGGGAAAATGACAGAGCAGGCTTTTTCCCTCTGCCTACAGCAAACTCTACAGGACGGATCCTACTGTTCAGCCTCCCTGGACATCTGCCTCCAAAACAAATCTGCACCACAACAAAGGTGGTAGCAGTCAACACAAAGGGCTCAGGTGCTTTTTTATTCCAGAGTATTGCTGCCAGGCAAAGCAATGCCAGCAAGGGCCAAGAAAGGCCTAAAGCATGGGGCAAAAATTTAAAAAGAAGGAGAAGAGGAGGAGGAGGTAATGGTGGAGGAGAAGGAGAAAGAAGAGGAGAAGGAGGAGAGGAGGGAAGAAGGAAGGAAGGGTGGAAGGGAGGGAGGGAGAGAGGAAAGGAAGGAAAGGAGGAAAAGAAAAAAAACAAGAGAAAGGTACTTGGCAAGCAGAGGGGGGAAACAAGTTTTCAAGAACCTGGAATGGCTAGGACAGTCAGAATCCAATGATCGGGGCACAGAGGTAAACAGGTGGTCTACCCAACCAGATCCTGCGATGAACTTCCACAAACTCCCCTCGAAAAGGCAGAGAAAGGGTATTAGACTAACTTTCTAGCATGGTTACCTTGCAGAAGGTGGGGTTGGACACTGAATAAAGTTATCCCTTGAATAGCAGATTGCACCAGCCAGCTGGATGGGGGTGGGGAGGATGCGGTGGCCAGGTGGTGCCAGGACTAGAAGAATCCTGCCACCAGGATAGGATAGAGAGTACAGAAAAGAGGGAAAAGGCCAAGGTGGGGAGGTATTAGAAGAGGAAAGTAGCAAGGCTGATGAATCTAAAGGCTAAGGCTGAGGCCAGAGTCTGAAAGATTTGGCCCAAAACTGGAGGATAGGGCACATACCAAATTTGAGGAGGCCAGCTGAGGTTAGTGACGTGGAATGGGACTGGGAGGAGAGCCCAAGAGGAAGTGTGGCCCCAGCGTACTAACAGGGATGAGGCCACAATCTGGAATGGCCTGAGGAAATAAATCAGTGGAAAACAAAGTAGGTAGGGAAGGCTGGAACCACCCACCTGCTCTGGTGAAGGCAGGCAAGCCCTGGAACAGCGTTACTCTGTCACCACCACGCCTTCAACAGCAGGGCACATGTGTCCTCTGCCTGACTGTAAGTCCCACTTGGGGACGGGATTCCACAGCTGACAGGGCCTGGGGTGGCAATACAGGGAATGGCTTGGTCCTTTGTCGAAACATCATTCTAACCCTCCTCTCTACTGATCTATCTCACCTGAGGCCAAAATGGGGGAAAGTGATCCTTTGATGACTTTGTCCCCAGGTGCTTAAATCCCCTGTCTTCCTCTCTTCCCGATCCCTGCAGTCAGCAGGGCAAGGAGAAGAGAGTGAGGGGGAAAGAGAAGCTCTGGATTGAGATCCCAACTCACTGTTTTCCAGCTGTGTGAATTCAGGGGAATCAGCTTACACTCCAGGACTCTGTTTGCTGGTCCAACACTAGGGGCAGGACTAGAGCAGTGGTCCGTAGCAAGTTTTTGAGAATCTTGTAATAATATGGACCTTCTCTTCAGAAAAAGAAATTTACATATATGCAAACAAACACATTTTTCATCCTATTTCTGGGGGTTCACAGGCTCCCTGAAGTCCATTAGTGGATCCTTCCCCATTTCTCAAGACGTGGCCTGTCTGAGGACCACTCACATCACAAACGGGTCCCACCCTGAACATAATGAATTGGAATTTCTAGGGGTGGGAGCCAGTAATCTGCAATTTTTACAAACACTCTAAATGAGACTTTTGTTCCCTCAAGTTTGGGGATCACTGGCCTGGTCCGCAGCCCTGGGGAAGTATCATCACCTATATTAGATGTTCTGTGAAGCCACTCTCACGGGACCCTCAGTGGGTATAAAAATTGTGGGGGAGCATACTGCAATTTTAAGGTGCAGTGTAAGGCACTTGCAGCCTCGAACTGACAAATTTCTCTTGTAACACGGAGTCCCTTTCCCTTGCCCACCCCACCCCACCATTCTCGTTAACACACTCTGCTTCTGCCCCTCAGCTGATCACCTAAACCCCTGCAGAAGCAGGGTCTTTTCTGGTTTGGGCTTCTGGTTTAAGACCAGCTGTGCTTTTCTGAAAAATTTCTTAACCACTGGGCTATGGTCCTAGCCAGACCTTGCCTGAGAGATGCTCCTGGGGGCCACCTCCATAGACACTTTCCGGGTTTCAGTTTGCTCTCCAGCCCTGTCCCAGCCTCAACCCCACCTCTGTCTCCCTTGTCCTGAACATTGTGGATTTTGCACGTGCATCACCTTCTTAAAGAGGCCCTCTCCGAAGACCTACCTAGTGATGCTACCTGCTGCAGTTACTCTCTGTCATGTTACCCTGTTCTATTATCATCGCAGAATTTACCCTCCCCTGCATAACTCTGTTTTACCCTCCCCTGCACTTGTCTCCTTTTCTGTTGCCATCTCCCCTATTGTCCCCACTGAGTGCAGAAGCCTTTCCGCTGCATCCACCATTGTCTCTCCTGTGCCTGGAGCAACGTCTGGTGCTTGATAGGTGCTCAGTAAACAGTGTTGAATAGTTGAACGAAAAAATAAGTGAATCAATGAATTTTTAAGCCTCTTTTAACCAGGCTGATGCTCCAGTCCCTCCACTCTCAATCTATTATGCCTCTCTGTGAGCCCAGGATCTCACCAAAGAGCCGTCTTAGCAGTTCACGCTACTGCTCCAGGCCCTGCCACTGTCTGCCTGCTTGATTCTGTGCCTCGGTTCCTATCATTCATTCATTCACCAATGGAGCTCCTACTGTGTTTTTTAAGTGCTGGGGATACAGCAGTAAATAAAACAACACAAATAAAATCCCTGCCCTTAAGGAGTGTCCATTCTTTAGGAAAAAGAGAGACAAATTTAAAAATAATAATAAATAAGTAAAATACAGAATGTACTAGATGGTGATAAGTACAGAAAGGGGAAAGGTGGGAGGAGCAGACCTTGCTGAGAAGGCCTGTCTGAGGCTGAGTAATGTAGAATCTACCTCAGAGGGTTGTGATTTGCACAAGTGAGTCAGCATGTGTAAACCTCGAGGCATCTGGCATTTAGCAACACTCAATATGTGTTACTTATTGTCACTTGCTATTTTAATCAGCCCACTCAGGCACAATATCTCTACTTTATCTATGATTCATTATATTTACTTTTCTGGAATTCCGTCACTCCAATATATGTTGGATCCCTTTATAAATTTTAAAAATTTGTAAATTTTCTTGACAAATTTTAAAATACTGGAGTTGCCACAGTTATAGTGAAAACTCACTGCTACCTCCCTCAGCCTTTCTGGAATCACCCTCAATCTGTGAATGCCTTTGGAAGGAGCGGTTCTGACTGCCTCACAGAACTGCATGATCCAGAACACTGGCCCCCAGTCCTCAACATCACGTTTTGTGTCCACCATTCCACTGCCAGAAAGGCCCTGTCACTTCCGCCCTGGTTCACCCCACCCCTGCCTTGTTCCCTGGGCTGAACTCATTACTTCTTTTTTTTTTTTTTTTGAGACAGAGTCTCACTGTGTTGCCGGGGCTAGAGTGCTGTGGCGTCAGCCTAGCTCACAGCAACCTCAGACTCCTGGGCTCAAGTGATCCTCCTGCCTCAGCCTCCTGAGTAGCTGGGACTACAGGCATGCGCCACCATGCCCGGTTAATTTTTTCTATATATTTTTAGTTGTCCAGCTAATTTCTTTCTATTTTTTTAGTAGAGACGGGGTCTCGCTCTTGCTCAGGCTGGTCTTGAACTCCTGAGCTCAAACAATCTGCCTGCCTCGGCCTCCCAGAGTGCTAGGATTACAGGCATGAGCCACCGCGCCCGGCCCTTACTTCTTATATGATACCTTTCACCACACCCCTGCTTGCCTCCCATCTTGTCCTTGAACACCCTCCACCCACATGGCAGGACTGACCAGACCAGATGCACATACATGTATCCTCTTCAGCTCCCTCAACTCCACTGAAGTCCCAGAGAGTAGGGACTTCCTATTTTCTTCTTTGAGGGCACACAGCTAGCACAGTGTCAGGCATTCAGTTGCCTATCAATAAATATTTGCCAGTTTTGTTTAAATGAATAGGGAAGTTGAGTATGTTCAGTTTTAAGGTTATTTGCTTTAAGCAAAGTCAAATGTCTTCTTCAAAGTTAGGCAGAATTGATACTTAGACTATATTTAAATAGGAACATTTTCAGTTTTACCCATTATTTACATAAGCAGCTAGAATATGTTTCTTACGGTTAGCTCTCCTGTTTGCTTTGTAGACTGTGGCTTCAACAATAATTCCAGGGGAAACTGCTTTTGCTTATATCAAATGCCATATAAGCATAGGTTCTCATGTTGAAAGAAGCCTCAACAGACTGAATGGTTCAACTCCCACCCCCTTGTGGAATCATTATGGCCACTTTATAGTTAAGCCCACAGAGGTTAAAAACTTCCTGAAGTCATCTAGCCAGCTGGCAGTGGAACTGGGTTACCTTTAAGAACTAACATCAGTAGTCTATGATTCTATGTGGTTTGGGGATTCTTAGTGGAGGATTTGAACTCAGATCTCCCGCCTGCTAGTTGCATTTTTCCACAAGTACTTCCCCTTGCTTGTTGGGAAGGCACTAGC